GAAAGGGTTGGAGATTGCTGCCACTTCAATGTGAATATAGTTAATACTACTGAACCGTACACTTAAAAATGACTAGGATAGTAAATTTTACGTTATGTATTTTAACACAACTTAAAATTATTTGTATATTTTATATATACCTGTATATATATATATATATATATATATATTTGGGCAGTAGAAGACTAACTGAATTGATAAAAATTTTCTCAGTGTTTGTGTTTTTAAGTAAAACCTCATTCTGTCTTTAGTTTGTCATTTACACTTTGGATGATAATAAAGATGTTATGATATTTAAGAAATTACAGGTTTGGAGTCTTTAGTGTCACATTTTTTCCCCTGCTTATTTCATATGCTTTGGAATAAACTTAAAATCCTGCAGTTCTGTTTCCTGTCAAGTATTTTCCAAGTTGAGTGGGTCGATGTGCGACTTGCTCCTTGTCAGTTGTGGAAAAGAGACAATCGTCCTCCTCATTACGGCTGCATCAGGCGTAGCTAAGGAAACGCACAGAGACACGGAAAGACACATGTCTTGTGAGCTACGGGGGACACACTGGATCCAATGTAAATCACGAACAGGGCACACTGACATTGTAACGAGAGTGTAAACTTGGGTTCTATTGAGCATCCTCGTGTTACTGATGCTGGAGGGTCAGCACTGCATCAGGGGGTGGACACAAAACGCTGCTTGGGGCCAAATCCAGCCCAACGACTTGATGGCTTGTAACTGCGCTGGGGTGAATTATATGAATCGACCATCAATGTTTTCACATGGTCTTCGACTCATGTGAATGCCCCCTCCCAGACCAGCATCTCGCACTTACCTTCACCTCCCCAGCTCTGCAGCTCAAGACCCAAGGTATTCCCTCGTTTGCATGTTGCTGTAGATGAGATGCCTTGGTGGTGTCATTTTGCTCCAAAGTTCCAAGTTCCACTCAGCCAGCCCCAAAGGCAGGAGAGGACAGACTGAAACGGAAGTCGGCAAAGCGAGGTGACTACAGCTGTATGGCATCACTGAAATTTGCTAAGAGAGTAGATCCTACAAGTCCTTGTCACAAGGAGAAAGTGTTTTTCTCCTTTTTCTCGGGGGGAGGGGTAACTATATGAAGTGATAGATGTTAACGAAGTTTATTGTGGTAGTCATTTTGCAATATATGTGAGTCAAATCGCTATGCTGCACACCTGAAACTGATACAATGCTGTATGTCAACTATATCTTAAAACTGATAGAAAAAAAGATAATACAGTGTGAGTGTTTAAACAGAAAAAGGAAGGAAGGAAAAGAAAAGAAAAGAAAGAGAGAAAGAAAGAAAGAAGGAAGGAAAGAAGGAAAGAAAGAAAGAGAGAAAAGGAAGCAAGGAAGGAAGGAAGGAAGGAAGAAAGATCAATCAGACAGGAAGCTGTTTGCTATTCCTCTTTAACTGGATACCTCCAGTCAAACAAGTTCTTTCTTAGACACACAATTTTTTTCTGCTGCCTCTGTTATCCAGCAAGACCTCGAGGCTCGGAGTTTCCCCAGAAGGTCACATTCCGGACTCATCAACTTCCCCTTGTTGTCTAAAACAATGCCCTTGGCCTCCCTCTCTCTTAACCTACGAACTCGGATTCCTGGGCTGGAAGGACCACGTCCAGAACAGCTCTGGCATCGCCATGTACCAAGGAGCTCACACTCGGTTTAATGTTCTGATCTTGCCCTTTTGAGATTCTTAACACTTTCTGTAAGAGAGTCTTGCCTTTTTATCATGTGTTGAAACAGCAGTCCTCTTCACAACTTAGCCCTAATCCC